TAGCTGTTCAGGATAACTTTCTGATATGTCCCAGAAAGGGATATATTTGAACGAAGTAGCTAAGTGGTTTTGGTTACTATAACCAAGTAGAATACGTTAGCAGTAATCGGCTGGTACGCGTCGTAGTCGCAGGTAAGAAGTGTAGATCAATGGCATAGTCCAATGGGCATCGTTATAGACTTAGCTCTCAGACTAAGGCTCTCGACTGTCGTACCTACACGCCCGTCGGTATTTATGACGGACACCATCCAATCATATTCCAGTGAGGGGGAACACAGGTGTATGCATATTCCATTATATCACTTTCATTTCACGATTTGGTAGGAAAGGCTGGATCAGCTCAAAAATGTGTTCGGAGACACCGTGCCGTTTGTATGCCATACCCTATCAAAGGCTTTCAATATGTTCAATGCTACAACCCGAGCTTCACCGTTTTCATCTAGAGCATGATAGACTCTTTCCGCAATTATCGTCAGGACATCAGCAGTTGACCTGGAGAAACGAAAGCTGTATTGCTTGTCTGAGAAAAGGCCCTGCGATGAGAGATGACGAACCAATTCAGCATTGATTAGGGTATCTAGGAGTTTCTCAGAGTGAAGTAGAAGGCTAATAGGCCGATAATTGGAAGGGTTGGGCAGTTCACCAGAGTTCTTAAAAACTGGAACAACAGACGATGACTTCCAGGAGACAGGGAAGCAGGGGGCAGCGAGGCATTTATTATACAGTTTAGAGAGAACAGGAGTCAGCTCAGGAGCACGCTTCTTAAAGACTATTACAGGGATACCTTCGGTTTCACATGCTTTGTGGGATCAAGGTTAGAAATAATAACTGAAACCATGGATGGGGTTATATGCATATCACTCAACAGAGATTCAGTTCTAAGTGGGAAGTTAGACAGAGGTATTTCAGATGAGTCAAGAGTAAAGTTGGAGGTGAATCTACGGGTGAAGCATTCAGCTTTATCAGCAGCGGATGATAACACGTCAAATGGATTGAAGAGGAGGGGGCATAGAGACCTTGCACTTACATCATAAAAATTACGTTCCGCTCAAAAATTCACAAATCCTACATATAGATCTCACAAACAAGCAGACAAATTTCACAATTAATCGCACAAATAAATCATACATTATTAATTACAAGTTTTACATAATAAAAGTTACATTCGGCTCAATGAACCTTACCTACTCATAAATATTGGTTCGATGTTGTAAATTCTATGCTTAACATTGCTACAAAATAAGAGTTGAATTTTTATTTTAAGTTTAAATTTGAATATATCTGTTTATGAGGAATTGGGTCTCATGAGAAAGTTCGTTTGCTAGATTCGCTTTCAGGGTTTTTTTTTTGTTCACACCGGCGAGGGTAAAGGATATTTTAATTGTTTGTCACATGGTTTTGTGCGAATTGAAGTAAAAGGTCAGAGGATGTCGACGCAGGAAAAGATTCCAACGACTCTTAAGCGTAAATTGTTTGAGAGAAGAGAAACAGGCTGAGATTAAAACAAAGAAAAAACAGGAGGGGAATAAAAGAAAAGAAACAAAAGATAACGGAATGAAAAAGAAAAAAAAAGAAATGAAAGAAAAGAAGATGAATAAATAGATAAACAAAAGAAATAATAAAATGTAGAATTTAAAATTAAAGAACGAAAGAAAAAAAGAACGGACAGATATAAAAAGAAAGAGAAAATAAAAGAAGAAAACTAGAGGAAGAAAGAAAAGTAGTAGAAAGCGAGAAAGAGAAAAATAAAAAAGGAAAATAGATATAAATGAAAGAAAAGAAAAAATAAGAAATAAAAACATATAAGTAAGAAATAAAAATAAAAAAGGTGAGAGAAGGTAAAGAAATAAAAGAGGAGGGGATGGAAATAAAAAAAAGAAGAAGAAAAGAAATAAAAATATATAAAACAAATTGAAAGAAAAACAAGGCAAAAAAAAAAATGAAAAAAAAAAATGGAAGAAAATATAAAATTTTATTCTAATTTTTCTGACAGGCCTCACAGTGGTAGGTAAGCCGCTGCTATAAATATGGGTATGGCCAAATAATTTGATGATTTCATCAAAGCTAAGTGAAGAATCCTTACTGCAAAAAATCTTTGAAAGCCTTCAGTTAGGCTATGGTACTACCAGCAGTTTAGTGCAGTCTCTTGACACTCAAGGGCTTGTGCAAAATGGGCTCTAGGAATTCTGCCAGACTTCATGAAAAAATGATGGTTGCTGTCCAAGAGCATCTGGAATCCTGACCTGGTACCTTCAGACATTTAATTGTTTTGACCCATCTAAAAGACACTCACTCTCATTTAGCCACCATAGAGAAACTTTTCTGTCTGTCATCAGCATGTCTGATGCTCGACTCCTGGAGAGCAACACACTACGCCTTCTTGCTTTCATGTTTTCTCAAGATTAAAAAAAGTAGACATGGACCTATGACCTGAGAATTAAAAAGCAGACAGACCAATGATCTTTAGTTCACACTAGAAGTTTACAATAAAATAAAAAGCTGACATGTGTCCAGTTTACACTAAGCAGGTACTGTATATACAGGTACCATATATAGGGTAGACACAGACTACATATAATACATAAATCAATCCCAATCCAAAATAATTTAAATATGAATTTACATGTATACACACATAAAAATATCTCCTACACACTTCCGTTTATTAGATATTAAACTCTCCTTACATCCATAAACTTGTCTGAATTTTTCTGCTAACCTGATGAATGAGCTCCCCTATACCAAAAATTTTGAAAGAACCAATAACCTTTTTGCTGTTCTATATAAATACTTGTCACAAAATAAAATCCTTACATTTGCCTTGATAAAGTTCTTCAGAGGACGAAACGCATCGGCTAAGATAGGTTTTCCTTTTGTTTTTTTAAATTTTTTTTATCATAGATTATATATATAAAGTACACAATTGGGTGCAGATACTATATACAGAAGTACAATATATAGGGGATATAGAGGGAGGCACGGTGGCATAATGGATTGCGACTCGGATTGCTGAATCGGAGAGCAAAGTTCGAATTCCAGTCGAGTTGATTACATTCACTTATTCACTAATACCCCGAGAAATGGTATAAATCCATCTCTTCTTCGACGGAAAAATTAGGTTCTATAGCCTTGGGTGGCAACCGGTCTAGGAGAAGGAAAAACTCTGATTTTAAAATCTAACTATGGGTAAATAGTAGGGCTCTGTAGCCATGGCAACCAAACTAGGAGAATTCAAATCCTGCGCCGGAGACAGTCCGATGTTCGTTGTGGCACTTCTTGGGACTCCGGTGCCAAGCTGTATTTGCTTCTGTCTTTTTCTTGGGCAACATATAATGACAGTATGAAACCGTAATGACCTTCCGACCTTGATGCAGGACAGTGATGGTTGGCGCGATAGACTCATGAATGTTCGCGTTAGCTCAAATGAATAAATAAATTATAAGCCTGTCGACTGTATTTTTCCATTTGATGAAAGTTGAATTTGCAGTAGATGAGAGGCCGTTTTAGTGATTCTTTGTGTCTCTTCAATGGAACCTTAGTTTTGCGTCTATTTTCGAAGGCGACCGTTTGCCATTCTAACTACCTTCTGTCGCTAAAGGTGCAACAATAGAACAATGGAAAAGAAACATTTCTGACACTTCCTGCCTGATTTTTACAAGGATCAGATTAGACCAAAAATGGAGAATTGCTGCCATATCTGGGATAAATCCTCATTTTCCAACCTTGATAGGGTTCAAAATCCTTTACACTGCCTTGTGGGTGATGATTTATTTTTTACCCTACAGACATTTCGTCGCAAGCCTATCTCTATCCTATCGCTATTTTCATAACAATTTTTTGGACGAGCTCCATTTCTAGTTCCACCAATTCAATCATTTACACCTAGGACCTGCCATGCCACGTCCACAGAGTCGAATCACCCTCATTCCTTCCGTATTCCATTCGTAAAAAGGAATTCCATTCGTAAAAAGGAATTCGATTCAAACAACTTCTTCCCCCAAACCGCTACTTTATAAAACAGACTCCGGCGTGGATGCTTCCCCGAACACTACAACCTTAACCTCTTCAAGTCTCTGGTCAATCTTTATATCTATATATGATCTTCATTTCTTACTTACTACTCTTACGGACATAGCACACATCATTCAGTAACCCTCTATCTTGAGTGTCTTTTAGGCTTTGTATTGTATCTTACACACTGCAGTTAAGTAAAGGGTGTTTCATTAAGATGGATCAAAGTCAGCAGTAAATAAATTAGTGTCATTAGTGAAAATTTATTTATTTCTCTATTGGATCATGTTATTTAATTCATGGCAATTATGTGTGAAATTATCGCCCAATGCCCGCCAAGGCTCCGGCGGTACACCTTCACTCGATGGTCTAAATTTTTGATGACGTCTCTGCAAAGTTGCTCGTCGATCTCACCAATATGCCTTATTATCTCATCCTTCAGCTGTTGAATTGTTGTTGGCTTGTTACCATAGACATTACTTTTGAGATGACCCCAAAGGAAGAAATCTAAAGACTTCAGGTCGCACGATCGTGGTGGCCAATTGACTTCGCTGTTTCGAAAGATGATGCGACTTGGGAACTTCTCATTACATTTCTGTTTGAACGTCCATTTTCGTAATAGGCTTCATTAACTTTAACACGTTGTTTGATTGTTAATCTTTCCATAGTTGAAATTGCCAATTGTTAAATCTGAAAGGAAAAGAAAAAATCCTTAGACGTTTAAACTTAATTCACACTTAAAATCGGTCCAATTTATTGGAACACCCTTTATCTTGGAGCAAAGCTTTAACACTTGTAACTCTGTCTGAATTTAATATTTTAAGGTTCAGTGCGTATTTATGATTGCACGAAGTGCTCGGGTATGTGACCCAGAATTTGGTACTATAGAGGAAAACAAGCAACATTATGACAAGTGGTGTATAAAAAGACGCATAAAATGTATATAAATAAGGTGTATACATTAAATATGTTATCATTTTCTTTCACAGGCTCCGGCTAGACGATTATTAAAAGCAACATCGATTCAGGTTGGTAATTATATTTTTTTTTTATTTTAACTTTAATGGAGATATTTCCATTTCCGCCAAGCATTGAGGCTAATAAAATTTAAAACCCGTGCGAAATGCCACTAAGACGTAAGGGGGTACTATAGAAGTAGAAGAGAATGAGAAGAGTTTAGAAGAAGGGAACCGGAAAGTGAATGGGGCAATAGGGGCAATAACTAAAAACGTTATAACTTAACAACATTTAAATGTTAAAAAATATGAAGTGGCAACATTTAAAATAGAATCCCCCCACCAAAAAAATAAAAATAAAAATGAGAGCTTCAAAGCCACCCTCTGAAATAAAGAGATAGAGAAAATAAATAAATAGATAAAAACTTTCGAGATCAAGTGCAACTTAGTCAGAAATTGAGAAGTTCCGATCGCAGCTAAGTAAAGTCACAGAATGTTCAGATAGTATTTTCGAACCACGTCGTGATGCGGAGATGGACAGAGGGGTGGTAGGAGAGAGACGGAGTTCTCACTTGTCCTTTATTCCGTTGATACAGAAGTAGCGAAATTGTTTCAAATGTTAACCTACTTATATTCCAGACGTTAATTTCGCTTTTCGTTTCTTTGTGCACGTACACCGCACCTTTCCCAGTTTTCGTGCACACCGATGTAAAACGAGAATCGACAGAGAAAGTGGGGGCGATTTGTCCAGTTGGTGCAGGCCTGAGAGAGGGCGAAGTGTATGTTTACCTATTCTTGTGATACCATTGTTAAGATTTAAATTCCCTTCAGATAAAGGGCTTACGGCCATATCATGTTGAAGCACCGATTCTCGCCCGATCTCCGAAGTTAAAGCCTTGTCAGTATGTAGATGGATGACCGCTTGTGAATACCAGGCACTGTAAGGTTGGATGTGCGGGTGGTGTAATGGATAACGGATCGGAATGAGAAGTTGGAGGGACGAGTTCTAATTCCAGTCAGGTTCCTTATATTCACTTTCGTGTAAATACCCTTGATAAAGCCATGGATCCACCCAGCTAGGGGTTAAACTAGTGGTTCCCAATTTTTTTTTTCTGGGCCGGAATGAAATGAAAATTTGCTCGCGCCTCACCAAATTTTATATGATAAAAAGCACACTTATATATAATGATTTTCCAAGCGTAACTTAGATGTGGCACAAGGCCGAAAGAATGGGGCACCCGGTGAGGATCGAACCCACTACTCGGTCGAAATTGTTCTAGCGAGACATGCTTGCTAGCCATTACACCACATCGAGGTTCTGCCGTTTAGATGAAAACCGCACCGCTTAAATATACGAGGTAATGACATAAAAATGTATTTCAGAAGACTTCTTTGTTATTATCGTATTTTCAAATTTCATGATTAATTATTCCTTATTAAAATTTAAAATGTACCCCAAATTTTACTTAATCTATAAGTGTGCCTTGAAAAAAAAAAAAACACCAACAAAAAAACTAGTCTCAAGAACATAAATCTATAACGAGTATGTCTGAAAAATTTCTCCCCTATTTATTTATTTTTTTAAAGTGACCAGTGTATTTAAGTAGTTTGGAAATTTTTACATACAATTGTGCTACTTTTATTCAGATTGCCCCGTTCTTGATGGTGACGGGTAACGACAAAGATAAAAACAAGACCATCAAAGGATTCATCGTGGACCTTCTGGAAGAAGTTGAGAAGATTATAAACGCTTCGTTTGAAATTGTCCTTGTGAAAGACGGCAAATGGGGTAGTATAAACGCTGAGGGTAACTGGACAGGCATGATAGGAGAGGTAAAATCTGGGGTAAGTCAGTTTTATTCCTAACCTAATGTCAGTCACCTATCCTGTCATCATACATGCAAGCATCGTTTCAACCCTGAACACAAATCTTTAAATGTAATAAGTCCTTTCAGGAGGCGATTAGGGCTCTCTTTAATTTCCCGTGCTTTGTTGCTCTAAGTCAGCGCTTTTTAAACATTTTTTTATTCATGAACCCCATTTTTCATCACGAAATTTTTCGCGACCGCAGGTATTAACCAACTACACTGAAAATACATCCGTTGTCAATGCACTTAGTCGCACGCGGGTTTTATTACCACAGCACATGCATGGCACATCACGTTAAATATTGGGCGTTTTGGAAATAACATAGAAACTGAAATTCAAGTGTTTGAATGTAATTTTCGCGAACCCAGCATTTCACTTCGCGACCCCATTTGGAGTCGCGACCCATAGTTTAAGAAGCGCTGCCCTAAGTCATTTTTTACCCATTACCATCGCTCTTTGTCCATGTTGGGTCATGTATACGGTTCTTTTATGCGCCATACCATTTCAGGACGTAGGCGATTATGGCTCTCCATGACTATCTGTTTTTGTTGCTCTAAGTAATGTTTTACTGTCATCACTCTTTGTTCATGTTCTGCCATCTATTCACGTCTTTTTTGTGACATATTCGTCCAGGACGTAGGCGATCATGGCTCTCCACTACTTCCTGATTTTTTTTCGTTATAAGATATTTTTTATGCTTTACCTTTAATCTTTATCCTTCTTTTGCTTAGAAGTATTTAATAAAAAATGATAACGTTATTTTGCTTAAAGTTAAAAAAAAAACTCGCTAAGTTGTCATGCATATAGTCATCTCGTTTAATCACTAAACACACGACTTCTTTTATAGTTATTTTCTAAACGTAGCTTAGATGTGGCACAAAGCCAAAACTATAGAGTACGTAATGAGGATCGAACTCACTTTTCAGTCGTAACTGATCAAGGGGACACGCTTTAATACTTTGAGTGTAAATAATCTAAATAAGCTCTCATCAGCAAAATTCAGACAGAACGTCTGTTTCACTGAGCAACAAACCAAATGAAACTCGTTTTTTCTTTTTTTAAAAATGTTATTTCGTCTTTTTTCAGCATGTCGATGTCGCAGCGGCTCCGTTAACCGTGACTTCCAAGAGACTCTTGCATGTCGATATGTCGCATCCGTTCATTACATATGGTCTGAAGATTGTCATCAAAAAACCGAACTTTCGTGACTCGTGGAACGATATATTTTTAGTGCTTCAACCGTTTTCATCAGAATCGTGGTTTCTTATTTTTTTGGCTTGTGGCGTGACAGGAACCACACTGGGTATCATTGGGCGTTTTAGCCCCTTCGAGTGGACCAACACGGCTGTTGTTCAAGTTAGCAAAGACAAAAGGGAAAGCTTCAATTGGCAGAATAGTTTTTGGTACATCATCACAACATTCATGTGGCAGGGTAGGTAGTTTAAGAAATTTAGATCTACTATCAGAGGATAAAATGCGTCTGCTATGACCTTTATTCGTATATATTATTCATTCTTTATTTACACACACACGCACACTCTCTCTAACACACACACACACATATGAATATAAGGTATCACACAGAGTAATGGTGTCAATAAAATAGTGCTCGATGTAATTAAGTATCTCTATCTATAAAAGGCAGGATGTGTGTGTGTGTGTGTGTGTGTGTGTGTGTGTGTGTGTGTGTGTGTGTGTGTGTGTGTAACGAATGCACGGCCGCAATTTTATATCAAAATTTACATGCACATGCTCCAAGTTAGCGGGAAGGCCAAGACCGACGTTGCATTTCCCAACTTCCATCGAGAGTGGAAATAATCGATTTTTTCATGCTTCTACGGCACTTTTCATGTAGTTTGCGGCCATTTTCTACTGGCCAGAATGAGAGCCTATAGCTGGCTGACACGAATAGGCAGGAAGATTCTATTGGCCAGTGTGAGAGCCAACAGCTGACTGACACGAATGTTGACTAGCATGCTAGCATGCAAAAAAAAATCGATAGCTGCATTCGTCACAAGTGAGAAAAATTTAAATCTGCATGGCACTTTACTCCAATTGGCTCATTCGCTTGCTTAAACTCGTTGATTCTGATTCCGTAGAACTGGGTTGTATGTGAAAAAGTATTTGTTGTTAACATTCTTTTTTCATTCGGTTTTTCCAGTTACGAGTCCTTTTTTAAAGCCGATCGTTTTGTGTTCATTTTGTTTAGTTCTTTTTTCGTAACAGATTTAATATTTAGTATAGAGCTTAGAAAAAATTCGCAGTGTGAGATAGGCAAGAAGTAAGGCATGTAGCAACATCAGCACGGCAAAGGGCACTTCTTTAAAGGCAAAGAAGGGCAAAAATATTTTAAGTCAAGTGATAGCGATTGCTGTATGAGTCGTACGATTTTTTAATCAATCACGGGCAACGCCGGGCCATGCTGCTAGTGTATATATATATGTATATATATGAATGTGTGTATATATATATATATATATATATATATATATATATATATATGCATGTATATATATATGTATATATATGTATAAAGATGTATATATATGTATATATATATGTATATATATAGTATATATCTATATATATATATACATATATATATACATGTGTATATATATATGTATATATATATGTATATATATTTATGTATTGTTTGTTTGTGTGTGCACGTGTTGTGAGTGTAAACGTATACATTACATATTTTTCTCTTTGTCTTTTGGCGTATTACATACGCTTATATATATATATAATATTGTAGACAGTATTTTACTCTTTTTTTTCTATTCTCTAGGTTACCGACATTTTCCTCGATCATATTCCGGCAGGATTCTTAGCATTTTCTGGTGGACCTTTGCCCTATTTACACTGATTTTGTACATGGCTTTCACCGTCGCTCATCTCCGTTACAAATCGGATATGAAGACCGGACTGCCATTTCTAACGTTTGACGAGATGTCACTGCAAAAAGGCGTCACCTACGGTACTTTGAAGTCTTCGAGCACGTTGAAATATTTCCAGAATTCAGATCGTGAAACCGAACAGCGAATCTACAAGAACATGCTTGATTTCAGAGACAATATGGTCACCTCAGTTTCGCAAGGATTGAAGAAAGTTCGCTCTTCCAATGGACGTTACGCATTCATCATGGAAGGGTCACTGGCTGAATATTCAGTCAGCAGGTATCCGTGCGACCTGATGTCAGTTGGCGATGACATTTACAAGCACAGTTATTCCTTTGTGACTGACAAAGGCTCTCCGCTTTCCTCAGAGTTGAACCACGCCATTACCAAATTGAAGGAGATGGGCATCATTGAAAGAATCAATTCCAAGTGGAAACTTGGTGAATGTTTCAAGAAAATTAATCAAGAGTATTTTATTGACGGTCGGGCTTATTATGACAAGATTCAGGAAAATGCCTCGTACAGCAGTTTGGGGGTCCGTTTGATAGGCGGGCCGCTAATTTTATTACTTATTGGTATTGTCGTATCTGGCGCTGTTTTGGCTGCAGAAATTTTTTTTGCAAAATCAGAAATGAAGGTGAGTTTTTTGTTTTCTTTAAAAAAACAAAGCAGAAACAAATCATAAAACAAACCTAGACTCAACACAGAATACAGTATTAAACCTTTGAACCCTGTGTTCCTGAACAATTTTAACCTTTCTACCTTAGCTCTTGAGCCAAAATTCGTAAATAATTGGTATGTAATGTTTCACGGTAGATATAAAAATAGTTACAAAAGTTTACCTATCGTTCAACCGGTGGCTGGGCATTAAGTCATTTTTCTCTACCACCGGTAAAGCGGTGATAAGGGCTCAAAAGTTTAACGTCTCGGCTTGAGTTAGCGAGAAAGCATGTTTTATTTATAAATATTAAGTATTTAGATCGATTCTGTTATATTATTATAACCCAAAACAAGTCCTAAGAGCCATTCAAGGTAGAGGATTGCTAAATGAGGATGTTGTAAGGGCGTACAAGGAAGGAGTAAGAGGTACATATTATAAGAAGCATCCTTTCGGGAATTTGTTTCACAATGTTCACAGTTCTTGGGGAAGTAGCTGTTTACGTGGAAATTTCTCCTTACCGATATAATATGAAGGAAATGTAACATAAATCGCTATGCTCTGTCTTCCTGGATCCTGTTCTTTTAGCTCGAGCATACACACTGAAGCGTGTTGTCTGTAATTCAGCGCAGACATGAATGCTATGGTCAGAGGGGCCGGTGAATATGTCGGCGTCTTTAGAAACGATAACACGTCCTATCATAAAACCTATTCCAAAGAGGTACGACCTCCTTGTGGCTTGCCCTGCTGCAACCAGTCTAATATGCTATGACATCACTGAAAGCAGCGATATTGATATCGAACTTATCTTCTCATGCAGTACGGCTTTCACTCTTCTTGGTGCACTGCTGATGTTCTGTCATAATACACAGTATCAGTGAGGCACTCGTAAAAGCCCTTGAAAGCTATGGCATAGTGGGTGCCTGCACAAACTCTCCAGCTATGAAATCTCTGAAAGAGTCCTCTCATTCATCGCCTTTCCTATCATGAAGGGCGTTGTCAAGGGTTAGGCTACTGAAACCCATGTGATCCACAAGGCTCGCTCTTCAAGCCTACCAACTTTCTGCTTTATATTGACGATCTACCTAAGAACATTTGATGGCCGTTAGTAAATATCTATTCAGATAATATCACAGTTTATGGGTACACCTCCAAAAATCTAGATAACCAAAGCATTGACCGAACTCAAACTGCCCAATGTTGGAAAAACTGTCTTGTAACTTTTTATAAATTAAAAACTAAGCTCGTAACTTTTCATGATCACACAACTGACCCTGAATTTTCAACAAATACAAAGCCAAAAATTAATAATAATTTTCAGTATAAAAAGCTATATATATTTTTTCTTTACTTATTATTATCTTGCTCTGTTAGTAACATTGAGATCTCTTTGGATTAATGTCCTTCTTGGAATTATCGCCACAAATTACCAAGTGGTATTACATATATATTTTCATTTTTTATTCAAAATACTCAAATTTTAGGAATACGTTTTCACAGCGTCGCCCACGTGACGACAGCGTGACCATGTTTAAACGGAGCGCTGATCTTATAAAACTTTCAGTTATCTATTTGGATAAGTCTTGTTCTTATGTCCATCGTCTTTGTCATGTTGAATTGATAATGTTAATTATATTTTATGAATATGTCCTGAAGATGGTTTATTAGACCGAAACGTCCGACGTTGACATATTAACATTAAAACAGCATAATTGCATATAAGGATATTTTTTCGTATATTTTTTTCTTTCATATATATATATATATATATATATATATATATATATATATATATATATATTATATAAAAATTATATTGTTTTTATGTGTGTGTGTGTGTGTGTGTGTATTAACCGCTAATATTATCAATATCTATCTATCTATCTATCTATCTATCTCTCTCTCTCTCTCTCTCTATATATATATATATATATGTATATGACAATTGCGTATTTGGGCAGCAATGCATCTTTTTAATCTTTTATATATATTCAATTTTTATATATATTATATATACGCGGTACTTATTGGAAAGCGCTCAATATCAGTGATAGAGCTAACATATTTAGTTGCATTGATGTGAGTTTGGACGAGTATATACGCTCAGTCCCATACTGTTCATATACGTTTATGTTTGTGCAAGCTGCAATGCGTAGATTTGCATGTAATGCATGTCTGCGTACATATGAGTGGCATTCTGACGATAATTTTTCCTTCCACTACCATAAGATACCGATATACGCAACCATAAATGAGCCCAAAATTTTAAAAATTAATCAGTTATCGCAGAGAGCGTGAAACCCAGGGTCAGAAACTCACATCAATCCAATTAAATTATATATATATATATATATATATATATATATATATATATATATATATATATATATAATAAAAAAAGGCTTAAACACTAATATTCCATGGTTATATAATTTATTCCATTGGAATCGTAATTACGATCCAATTCATCAGACCTACAAATTCAAAAAGAAATCAGTAAAAATAACTCCAGGAATAAAAAAATAAATTTAGCGAGAGTGTATGTATGAGAGTAGGGGACGAATGTGATGGTTAAAAAAGAAAGTTCTAGAGATGAGTAACAGACGAGAGAAGAACAGGAAGGTCTAAAAGTGAAGGTGCGGATTAAAATTTAATAGAGAAATTCTAATGAGAAGTTAGAAGACGGTTAAATGTGTAATATAGATAAAGTTGTATTATTTTCCGATGCATAATTCATTCTTTTCTACCTGGATTCTATCCTCTTGGAATTTTATATGTATGTGTATGTATGTCTATATTTATATTTTAGATATATATGTATATATATGTAGTGGTATTGACAGCGTAAATCAACCCACACATTATTTACTTTACGAAAACAAAAAGCAAACAAGAGATAGAATACAAGAAAATAACTTTTCTTAACACTAACAGGTACAATATTAATATTTATAAATGACAACAGTTTTACAATAACAATAATATGAGTTACTTCCCTTTGACTGGGCTAAAGTTTTTCTACTAAAATATTTTTTACCTTAGCTCACAAAAGCTGAATTAACTTGTAGTTCAAAATGTTCACTGAAAGAGAATCTTGTAAAGCTGAAAATATGTTAATAAACTTTTTTTTAGCTTTAAAGAAGTTAGAGAAGTGAATGTTCCGTTTGTTTTCGTTGGTCGTAGTTGAATGTATTGTTCGTAATTATTTGTACTTAAGTTTCGTAAGATTCAATAACGTAATTGAATAAGTTTAAGTTGCAGAAGTTGGTGAGTGAGTTGTTTCGTTGAAATTGTAGCTTGAATTTCAGTGAAGTTATTTCATGTTAAAGAACTTGAGGTTCTAACTTTGTACTTCGCTGCAGTAATGATTCAAGCGCCGTGAACTCGTTTAGCAAATTCTAGTCGTAGTAAATTCTCATTGACTGGGTTCGCTCGTACCTTCAATTTATATGTTTTTAATCACGTGACAGGATCCTGAAAGCATTATTTTTTTGTCAGGTCAAAAACTAGGTTGATGTTATTCGGACGTAGTGGTGAGCAGGTAAATTGTTTTTTTTTTAATATCTGTTAACCACTCAGAAAGCGCCTTACAAAACTCAGTCTGGAGCCTGATATGTTTTGTGTTGCTTATTGAGAACAATGTACGTGAAGATATACGAGATAATTTTAATATTTATTGTCCAATGAGAAGTTCAGGTTTTCAGAAACATTTATGAAGATGTGATCCGCTTTCTGCACGAAAATCGACATTGATGAAAAAGTGGTAGCGGACATGTGTGTATATTAACTACTAATATTATCAATATCTATCTATCTATCTATCTATCTATCTATCTATCTATCTATGACAATTGCATATTTGAGCAACAATCCATCTTTTTAATCTTTTTTTTTTACATGTGGATGAGGGTATTAAGCTCGTATTTTCTACTAGTATGTTTCGGGTGGAGTTTGGTAGGTTTTCGTAGGTGTTTAAATGGTCCCTTAAAAATAATTGTAGCCTTAAATATAAATAATAAAAGCCAGCACTTAATAACATTAACTACGAATACGACCAGTTAAATAAAAAAAAAAATCGTCCTTGATAATGGCGGAAAGAATAACTGAAAGCAGTCGGATATGCAGGTGTTTTAAACAGTTTTTATACACTTTGGGTCCAGAAAAGAAAAAACCTGTATGAACATAAGAAAAATTAAATAAAAAAGCTTAACCACAGTAACTTGTCAGTCGTCTTTAACGATATATATATATGTGTGTATGTGCGTGTGTGTGTGTGTATATATATATATATATATATATCTTGGTTCTTTGGATTCTGCTGAAGCTTCGGACTTGGTTGGATTATTTCTTTTATATAATTTAAGTGCCTTCGATTGTCTAGATTCAGATAGTGTAGGATTATATAGAGATGATGGATTATTAGTTGTTAAAAACTCAACTAAAATTAAGGTAGACCGTATTAGGAAAATGATCTATAGGGTATTTAAGGATTTAGGTCTTAGGACAATAGTTACTAATAATATGTTAGACAAGTAGATTTTCTAGATGTCACCCTAGATCTTGCTAACAATATTTTCCAACCATATGTGAAGGTTAATTCCAACCCATTATACGTGCATCCTAATTCCAACCGTCCCCCTTCGGTTATAAAACATATACCCTCTTCCATTGAATTTAGAATTAGCGCTAACTCTTATAATAAGGAGGTTTTCAATAAACATAGTGATTTTTATAATTCTGCACTAAAAAATAGTGGATACAAAAATACCACTATTCAATATAAAAACCCTGTTAATTGCAACCATAATAAGAAAAGAAGATCTAGAAAGATTATTTGGTTCACTCCCCCTTTCAATGTTATGGTCAAAACTAAGTTAGGGCGTATATTTATAAACCTAATCAAAAAACATTTCCCCAACCCTGAAACTAACCCACTTAGTAAAATATTTAATCCTAATACCCTTAAATTAAGCTATAGT